AGCTCTGTTCAAGAGGCACAGCTGGATTTTGTGCTGCTCCTCAAAAGCAGATCCCAGTGCTGAGCCTGGCAGCAGGGTAATCCTGCACAGCTCTCCAGTGACCTCCCCATTTTGGGAGATGCTGCAGAGCCCAGCCTACAGATCCTGTGTGTAAGCCCAGAGCATCCCTGGGCTCCTCCTTCCCTTGTGCCTGAAATCCTGGCATAAACAGGAGCAGCTGTCAGAGAACATTAATGCTCACTAAGACCAGCCCCACAGACTGCAAACTCCTGGGCCACATCCCCCAAAATCCCCACTGATCCCAAATAACACAACCTGATTTTTCTTTGTGTCTCTTGGCTTTTCTGTTGTTTTAAGCCCCTTTTCCTTGCTTGGAAGTAATCTTTGAAAATCACAAATACCATCTCACAGGTGAGGATATATCTGGGTGTTTCAGACCACCCTCAGGCTGCAAGAGAAGCAAAATGTGGTCATTGGAATTTGTCACACAATGCCACCACACAGCCTGATGAGCAGCTCAGGAGCAAATCCCAAGGAAGGCAGGGATGCACAGCACCTGCTGCAGTGTCACAGGGTTAAAAAGAACTGCTTTTAAGGATAAATAGGGTGGCAAGAGGTGCCAAAGTGATCTTCAGAAGAAGTACTTTTGAACATTTGATAGTATATATATTTAATGTAAATACATCCTGAATTTACTTTCTTCTTCCCCATTTGTAGCTGCTCATACTTACTGTGTGTACCTGGGTGCTGGGCTAAGACAGGACAGCTGGTGGGAGGGGTCACTAATGTTCACTGGGTCTGAGGATGATGCAGGCAGCAAACAGAACATTTTCCTTTCCAGTTTCTCAGCCAGATGCCCTCAAACTCACCAGCTGGGCACAGATGTACATCCATGCTCATCTGTGTTTCCACTGCAGTTACAGTGGGGAAAAAAAAGGAAGTGGCATGATTTTTTTTTTCCAAGATGGAAAACAGAGTAAATATTTCAGAACCCCATAAATAAAAAAGATTCATCTGATCTTTTAAAAACATATTTCCCTTTGGGCTCTGACTAAGTGTGAGAAAGTTCAGCCTGAGAAGGAATTCATTTGGAAAAGCAGTGAAAGGTTATAAGCAGGGATGTGGGCTGGAATATGCCTTGCAAATGTTAACTGTGGAGGCACAGTGCTAACGCCTTGTATGTGCAAAAACATTTGGAGGGTTGTGAATTTAAACCATGAAATTAATATAGTCAAAATTAAGGTTTTCTTGCCCACACCTTACTCATACAGGATATGGTGTTTGTAAAATTCTGACAGGGATGGGAAGATGTGGAGGTGGTTTGCTGGTGTTAATTTATGGTTGAGGAAGAACCTTTAGCATCTCTGCTTCTTGATTCATTTGCAACATAAATGTTTCCTTAAAGTAAATTAACTTTTTAATTCTTTTACTTTTCTGGGGGGTAGCAGAGCAAAGCCCAGGAAGTTGCTTTGTTGTGCTCACTGCCACTTCCCCAGAGAAAAGTGTGATACAGTGAGTGCTGTATGTGTGCACACCCACGTGCAGCCACCATGGTGACCTGTGAATCACTTACAACTGCCTGATTCATTTTCCCAGTGCTCTTATTTAATAATTCTCCTGCTCCTTGGGGAAAACTGTAAAAATGGATTTTATTTTCCTAATGTGTTTGCATTTTAAGTAGGCAAAGTCTCTTTAGATTCCCATTTGCCAAACAAGATCTGCACATGTAAGTGACCAATGTGCTGAGACCAAGCATGATAAATTTCAGTGGAGGAGGAAGAATTAAGAAAATAATAAGAAACTGAGTTCAGGAATTTGCAGTGAGGACAAATTTTGAGTTTAAAACCCAAGGTATTGGAGCTAGTTATCCCAAGATAGGATGGTCAGGCTGGAGCTCAGGGCAAGGCTCTGCCCCCAGAGGGTGCTGGCACTGCCCAGGCTGCCCAGGGAATGGGCACGGCCCCGAGGCTGCCAGAGCTCCAGGAGCCTTTGGGCAGCGCTGCCAGGGGTGCCCAGGGTGGGGCTGCTGGGGGGGCTGGGCAGGGACAGGGGCTGGGCTGGGGGATCCCTGTGGGTCCCTTGTAACCCAGAACATTTTGTAATTCTGTGACCTGTCCTCTGTCTGAGGTGGGTGAAATTGGGAACAGTTCCTGGATATCCAGTGTGTTTCCATCCAAGTCCTGAAGATACACCCAGGAACAGGACACACACTGGAGGCTTTGATGTGCTGCAAGCCCTGCAGTTCCATAGCTCTGGAGAGGAGCAGTGTCTCTCTCTGGGTAGTTTTAATCAGAGATTTTACAAGAGGAGGCTTTCATGTTGTCTAAAATTCTGTGATCTTCAGATGATCTTATGTAGAAAATTGCTAATATTTCTTTCTCAGTTCTTTCTCAGATGCTGCCCAAATAGACCATGTTTACAGAAATCTGGATGTTAATGTTTGGAAACAAATCTCTTACAGAGTTCCTAGGCAGGAAAATTATAGAGAAATATATTTATTTCAATAAAAAGAGGATAAGAATTTTGGTAATCCCAGACTGTTCTGGTCATCCCTCAGTTTGTCCTCAAGATGCCAGGAGAGTTTTAGTGAAGGCAGAAATACATCTCTGGTATATCCAGTGAGTGATGTACTTTGCATCTTCCCATGTGGGTTGGAATTCAGCAATAGAAGAGGTGCACAACAGCCATACCAGAGATTATTCCAAATTCTTCTTTCAGCCTGACCTTTTTCTGTTCAGCTGCTTGTTGGCATCTCAGCAATGTTGAACTTGAATAGCAAACAAACCCATACACTTTCAGTATTTTAAGTATTTTAATTCTCAGTAGCTTCCCTCCTAAGGATCTTCCTAACCAGAAAGGCAGAGGAATCCAAGGATCACCTTCCTGGCACCTTCTCCATTCAGCCTAAGCAGGGTTGGTGTTCTTGATTGCCTCAGGTGATTGTGGGGAGCAGGGTCCTGCATCCCCCTGGCTTAATTTAATTTCATTTTGTTCACTAAGAGGTGTTATGGAGTCAAGATCTCTTCTTTAATGCTGCTCAATCATTTAAGTAGCACTTCTTCTTTTCACTTTGGAAACCAGGCAGTGATAATCCATCTGAATTCCCATCTGGAAATCATAGTAAGAACAGAATTTCTAGTCCTGGACAAATGAGTAGGAAAAAGTCAGGAGAGGTTTGCTTTTCTTTTATGAAACTCTCAGTGCTACATCATTTAATCCAAGCAGTTGTGAGACAGATGAATGGTGTGTTCCCAGCCAACCATTTTTACTCCAGAAGGGGCTTTAAAATAAAATTGTCTTTATTGTGTGTTATGCAGAACTCCACAGTGTGAGCTAAATGGACTTTTTCACTTGAGATGGAACTTCAGATCCTTATTGATAGGAAGATAAATCTTTCCTCACTTACAGGTTATGTAGGTTCAAGTAGACCTATTTTTTTAATTGTGCAAATTGAGGTAGTTCATTGCCAGATTGCTGGGAGTAACACCTTTAGACACTGATTAGACCATTCTTTATCTTACCCTTATTCACACTTTGAATTTACCAGAAAAGAACCCTGCCCTGCCCTGAAGTGACACCAGGATGAGACAGGATCTGCTCATGTTGTTCCCTTGTCTCATGTGTCTGAACTCTACCATGGAGCCTCAATATCCTACTCCATGATGCTGATTTGGGGGATAATTGTAAAATATTAATATTTTTCCTTTAAATGGCTGATACTTGGTGTCTGTTTGGATTCAACCTGAGCATACTTTTAATTGAGGGAGAAGGAAATTCTTTGATGTGTAACATCCTGAGAATGTCTCTCAGCATGCAGTGAGTAGTGTCCAAAACCCCTTTTCCCCAAAACATTAAAAAAAAAAAATAGAGTTTGTGACCATCAGACTATTCTGAACAAGGGTTCATTCTCTCAGAAATTAAACCAGGATATTCCCCTCTGCAGCGAAATTCCTGGTAGTCTGGCATCAAGTTTCCAAGCCTGGCAGAATTACATCCAGGCCTGCATGGTGTGCATTGAAATCTCCATTGTGATACATTCAGCTGACACATGGTTTCAATAAAGTATCACAGAATTTATAGATTCCTCTGGCCACCCACTTGAAAGCTTAAAAATTACTGTGGGTAATTCAGCCCTGTAGCTGCTGACTGCACCTGCAGCAGCTTTTCTCAGGAGCTGGAATGGCCCTGGGATCCTTCATGGAGAAGCAAGCACGAGCCTGTGGCTCCATGCCCTTCACCTGGCATTGGGCTCCTTGCCAGCTGGAAGGTGAGCCAGCACCTTGCACCAATTTTTGGGTCATTTCAGGGGATTTGACCCCTCCCTGTGAGGGTTTGGGATTATTCCTGGCTTGGCAGCTTACATCCCAAGGATGCCCTTGTGTCAAGCATGGCAAGCACAGTGTTAACCCAGTGTGTTCCTCAGTGTCTCCTGTGTTCCTGACAGAGGCCAAATGTTTGTGGGAGGGAAGTAAATTATTGTGAACTGAGTGATCTTGGAATAGTTTGCCCACAGGGAGTTTTTTTCTTACCCCCATTTAGGATCTGGCTTGTGCCTTTGTGTGAGAGGGTTTCTGTCCTTTCCAGAATTCTGGATTTTATTATTATTTAATCCCTACTAATGTAACTCTGGGTACTTTAATCCTCTTAAGGGTTTGCTGCTGACTTTGGGCTCAGTCCTGCTCCCTTTTCAAGGAATTTTGCCATTAGACACCTTTAAGTAGAGTTCTGATGTAAATTGAAGCTGATTTTACTGGCAGCTCTGTCCCTGGCTGTGAAATGCCTCTGTAAAGCTGTAACCTGTGTGCAAGGCACAGTTCCAGTGGGGAGGAGAGGGGGGTCTGTGCTCCTGCCTGCAGCCCTGACCCTGCCTCTCCTCACTGCCAGTCTGGAAGGAATCCTCAAAAGATGCCAAATGCTCAGGGCAAAGGAATTGTCTGTGAGCCTGCGCGGGGAATGTTCTGCCAGCTTAGGAAGCCATAAATGTGTTCCTTTCCATCTAGGTGCCCCTCTGGCTGCGGAAAGGGAGAAGAAGCCTCTCTCCAGAGCTGTCTTTGTGCTGCCCTGGGTGGAATCCACAGAAACAAGTGAGGGTCCCAGATGTTTTGTTTTTTCCCTGATGTGTTGTAAGGAAGCGTTAGCTGCGCTCTGGGTCTTCCAGGGAGGCTGCTCAGGTGGAGTGTGCCCTGGACACAGCTTGGAGAGGTGTTTCCCAGTGGGGAGCATGCAGCATGGTCCTCAGAAAATGCCATCCTTTCCTGTTTCTGTGTATCAGGTGGATTAGTCATGGGGACTGGCTCTTCCTGAAGAGTGCTGGTGTTGCTCATGGTTCCTTCCAGTGAGGCAGATATCCCAGGAAAGGTGATGTTTTCTCCAGGTACTGCCACAGAGCCATTCCCCAGCTCCAGCCTTCTGGGTTTGTCATCAGCAGGACTTGAGCGTCTGCCAGCAGATTTTCAGGAAACAAGGAATGTGAAACCAAGGATCAGAGCAAGTCATCAACTTGTGATCCACGGCCAAAGCTGGAGGGATGATGCTGATCCTTTGTGGTCACTGAAACCCCACTCAGAAAGCCTTTTTGGGGCCAGAAACATCACAGCCTCAAAGACAGAAGCATAAATGTAATGCAGCTGTAAGAAATCCAGCCCCTCCCCTTTAAGAGCTGCTCCTGGACTTTATGTTTGGGAAACCTTGTTTGTCAAGGTGAATGAGTTATGTGGAATTGTCACAGAATGTAGGATTTAGAATAGAATTCCTTATGGATTTAGATTTAGAATCCTTAGGATTCCTTTAGGATTTAGAATAGAATTCCTTGGGTGCTTCCTTTGCCATTCCCAAACCTGCTGGTGCAAAGGAAACACCCTGATCATGGAGCAGGACAAGCAGTGCTGTCCACATTGCCCTCTTCTAATCTTCCTGCTTTTATCCTGACTGGGACCTGCAGCATTTCCGGATGTTAGGAAGAATTCAGCAGGCTGATCTGTTTACATTCAGCAGTTTTGCCCTTCCACATGTGGAGACTGTCCCTGCTAGACTGCTGTTACTGTAGTGCTCTGCCAGAGGAGATCAATAGGATCCAGGGTGTCTGCAGGGTGCCAGTGCTGAGAGCTCCTCTATCAAGTACCTTTTGTGATTTCTACCATTTGAAAGCTCAGGGTGAATTCTGGGCCAGGTGAAAATTGTTCTTCACCTTGGACAGATCCTTGAGGAGCTCCTGCAGGTGCTGTGGGGAGAGCCCATGGTTTGGGACCCTTCATGGGCTGTGCTGGCAGGGATGTCAGCTGGATGGGTGTTTCCAGTCTGGGTTCCTGGGATGCTGTGCAGAGCTCTTGGAGCCCAGTGGGCTCAGTGTGTACCCAGCTTTTGTGGTATTCCTGCACTTAGGAGGGTGATCTGTATTTCTAGCTGTGTTCTTAGTGATACAGAGCTCCTGACCTTTCAACACATTTCTGATTGCTCTTATTCCCTTCCTGGATTTCTAAAGCAAAATCCACTGAGGCCAAGTGTCCTAAGGAAAGAAGTGTCTTGTTTTAGCTGCCACTGCTGGGCATGTGTTCTCTGCCTTCTCTTTCCTGCCAAAATGAAATATGTGCTTCCTTCTCTGGGGAATATGTGAAACAAACCAACAAAAATCCTTCAAATCTTGAATGCAGGGTGTGCTGGGAAGACAGCTGAGCTCAGCCTTGGGGCAGGGAGTTCAGCCAGTCCCAGTAAGTGCTGGACACACCACCAGAGCCAGCTGGCAGCAGCTCCTGGAGATGGGACAGAAGAGCAGCTCATTCTCTCTTTTATTGGGATCCACTTGCAAGCAGAGTGGTCAAAACTTCTTTCAGTCCCCGTGGAGTTATTTCTTGGGGTACTTGAAAAACTTGCTCATTTGGCATCTGAGTGTGCCAGTCCTTCACAGCTGAGGAGCTGCCTTGTAATGAGGCTGTGCCTTGCCTTTACTACTACCAGCAAGATAAGGTGCTCTGTTTTGGCCTGTGTAGGAGGAATTGTGAGCTGACTAAATAAGTACAGCTGGTACTCACTAGACCTCTCTCTGGAATCCCTGCTGCTGTTGGAAAGGCTCCTGAGCATGAAGGAGAATGATACTTGAGTCTGGGGTTTGAGCAGATGTCTTTGGAGCATTTTGAAGGGCTGTGTTTGCAGCAGGGTCATTGCTCAGCTGGCAGCAAGGATTTGAATACCAGTAAGGACCAGCATGTTCTGGGGGCTGAGGAGTGTCCTTCCCTGCCCTGATAGTGCCTGCTGCTGTGGCTGTGCCTTGGGTGGAGCCTTAAGGTGCAGCCCCTGATGACAGCAGAGACTTTGAGTCTGAGCAAACTTGCCTAGGTAGCATTGACTGTCTGGATCCAGCTCTGCAGAGGTTTAGGGGTGGTTTCAGTGTGGGTTTGCAGCCACACCTGAGCCCCTGGAGTCCCTTGCAGCTCTTCCCATGGCAAGCTGTGTTACAGGTGGATATTGTGCCCCAGCTGGACACCTTGGGGTAGGAGTTAGGAAAACTGCCCTGGAACAGCTTCCCTGTGAGCACAGCCTGGCAGAGCTCAAGAAGCATTTGGACAATGCTCTGAGGTTGTTGGGGTGTCTGATCCTTGTGGGTCCCTTCCAGCCCAGGATATTCTGTGATTCCAAGTGGTGCTGCAGGGAGTTCTGCCCAGGAAGGTTCCAGCTAGGAAAGCAGTGTCTGCTGGATCAGTGCTGGGTGTGCTGGAAGGCTGTCAGCAGAGATGGCTGTACTGGTGAGGAGGAGGAGGCCTGGCTCTGGGGAGCAGCCTCAGCAGGGACTGCTGTTCAGAGAGGTAAAGCTTGGCTGCACATGGGCAGCCCTTTGTGAATTCTCTGTAAAGCTCCTGTCTCTGAGCACTGCTTGCTGGGTGTTCTCTCCTACAGAGCCCAGGAGATCAGTGCCAGGCTGGACCAGCTGGAACAAATTCTTACTTCTCTGTAATCCCTGGAGATCCTTCTGCTGTGGGGACAGTCCCCTAACCACACCAGCAAACCCCTCTGCTCTGGGCTGTGCTGGTGGCACTTGTTACATGTTCCATGCTCCCTGCACTGCCAAGGGGAGAAGTGCCCACAGCCAGCATGGGCTCTGCTGGGGACAGTAAGATCCCTGTGTGTGACAGGGACCACAGGTAGCCATGCCTGGCCCTGTGAAGTGATGTGTTAGTTAGTTTTCTTCTGTTCTAACAAGTCTTATTATTTACTGAGCTCCTTTCTTCCAAAGTAAGGTCATGATAGTTTTTGTTCTCTGAACGTGGAAGTGCCTGGTCTTTGGGACTGCTTTGAAGAGTTAATCTTCACTTGGTCCTGTACTTGGTCCATTGCACTTCAAAAAGGAGGTTGGTTCCTTGGTTTGGGGACACCCATTGAGGTGGGACTGATGCCAAGTCAGGAGTTTCTCTGCTACTTGACTGTGCTAATTGTCTGGGGGGGTTTTGCAGCAGCTACACAGATAGCAGCAATCATTGATCCTCTTCATTGTGGCAGAGGGCCCAGGGAAGAGGAAGGCCCTCAGCACCATTTTGTGACCACACAAGGAGCCTGCACAAGATCACATAATGGAACAAACACAGCTAAATGTGCCTTGCCGGTGCCTTTGCCACTGGAGTGTTCTTAGAGGTGTGTTCTGCTGCTCCTCCTCCTCTCCCTCAAGCCATGCTGTCTGTGCAGAGAGTCCCTTTCTCCCTGCTTGTCCAGCCTAGACTTCTAAAACCCCCTTAACTCTAGTTTAGCCCTGCTGTGCTCTGATTAAGATACAAATATTTTTAGTCACAGAGGTAAAGTTCCAGTGCCCAGGTATTTTTCAACGTTTAGATTTGGCAGTTTTCTCTGCTGGATCATCACAGCTTCTCCAGTCACTGTGAATAAAGACTGACAGTGATCCTTTATTTAGTGCTGAACCCCAAGTGCTGCTGAACTGAGCAGTGAGCCCAAGTGAGTGATTACACTGTACCAATATATCATAGCTTAAAATAGGGAGTGGTTTTAAAAGTAAAGTGATGGAGAAGTAAAATGAAAGCTTACTTAATGTGCACAGTCTGGTGTGTTGGAACACAGGATGGAAGAGGTAAAAACGAGCCTTTAACTTTGCTGCTAGTGGGAATACATGGACACAACTGCACTGCTGCAGGGGAGCTCCCTGCATGGCAGGTCCTCTGTGGAGCCCTGGGAGCTGCTGCCTGCACTCCCTGCTCCTGCTGGGAAGGAAACACCCAGGTTTCAGGATCCTTTGTGGCTGTACAAATGATGTGTTTCACTGTGTTTGCCATGGACTTTACAATGTTTGCCACTTTGCTGTGGGTTCATAGCACCAAGCCATGGGCCTGGGGTTGTCTGACAGGTGGGGTGACTGCTCAGGAAAGGCACCCCAGGGTGTGTCAGGCAGCAGAGAGGGGAAACACCCCACCAAGCTGGCCAGGAAATCCTGCTCATGCACTGATGTGATAGCTGAGCTAAAGGCCCTGATCTCCATTCAGAACAAACCAGATCCATAAACACTTGGAGCTGTTTTACATCTGTCTGCCCCACACAGCTGTGGTGAGGGGTTGGTTGATGCTGGGATGAAGTGATGGGGTGTAGGGAATAAATGGATATGAAACCAAGCTTCACCAAGCCCTCCTTACTGTCCTGCCTGCCTTGGGCTGTTGGGTCTCTTCGGTTTGTTGGTTCTGACAGATCCTGGGTGCAGTTGGGAATCAGTGAACACTGAGAAGCAGGTGTGTGCTCATACATTGCTCTGTGCTTAGTTCTGCCCCTTTGTCCCATCCTGACCAACAGCTGCTTCTCCCTGAGCTTCCAAAGGAGATGCCAGCAGGGCCTGCTGCCCTGCATCCTCATTGCTGTGAGGTCTGTGGGGTCTGCCCTGGAGAGCAGAGCTGTGTGAAGAGGAAATAAATCAGAATATGGCCCAAGCCATATAGTGTGGAGCAGGGGGAGCAGTGTGAGGCAGTGTCTGTGTGCCTTAGAGACCTGACAGAGCACGTGGGATGTGTCAGTGCATGGGGGTGTCTGATTGACCAGTGTGCTTGCAGTGCTTGCCTTTCACCTCAGAGTTTCTAAACTTGGTCTGTTTTCTTCTTCCTACAGACAATTTTAGGTACACATGTGACATTTGTGGGAAAAAATACAAATACTATAGCTGCTTCCAAGAGCACAGAGACCTACATGCCGTGGATGGTGAGTAGTGTTTTGACACTCAGACACCTGAACTAGGCTGAGAAGTCTTTGGGGAAGCAAAGTGTGGCTCTGCAGGAGCATGTGGCCTGTGCTGTGCAGGACGTGGCACTGCAGGGGTCACCTGTGCTTGCCATGGAGGCACAGTGTAGAGGCACTGCAGGGAGGAGTTTGCTGTGCCTGATTCTCTCTGTGTGCATAAAAACAAGACCTGTGCTGGGACCAGGGACCTTGCAGTGAGGTTCATGGTTAGGATGGAGAGCCTGGGACTGAGTACCTCAAGGTAAATGGTCAGCCTGATTATTTGCTGGGAAGAAGTTGGTTGCTTTTTGGTTTCTGAATTTACAGGTTTGTTCCCAACATACTTCTCTGTGAAGCATTTCGGATTTCAGAGTTAGGAACTTTCATTTTTGTTAATGACTGTGGTAGTGAGCTGGTGAAGTTGTCAGTGGCCCTTAAAGGGTGACTGTACATGTGGCCTAGGCTGGTGACACCTGGACAGAAGCAAACACCCTCTGCCAGAAGCAGTGTTTCTTTATTCTGCATTGGGGAAAATGAAGTATCAACATGCTGGCTTGCCCCCTGCTTACTGAATATCTAAAGCTCCTCACCTGGGAGCCCACAGATATTCCAGACCTTCCCTGTGTGTGCTGCAAGCCTGGCAGTACTGCTCCTCACTTGGCCAAGGAGAGTTCTAGAAAGAGGCTGCTTGGAGAGCAGCAGGTTTTGAATGGCTGGGCTGTCTCAGAAAAGCATGTGTTTTTTCACAATACATTGTTGTCCAAAACAATGGTTGTGTTTGCCTGGAAAGTGTGGACATCTGAATGTGCTCTAAGGACAGCCAGTGTTCTCCTGCAGGGCACCACTGCCAGCTCCCTTCCTCCTGTGGGGAGCCAGAAGAAAATTAGTGGCACTGACAGTCAGTGTGAGGGGAATGTGGCTGCCTCGGTCAGAAATGTCACAGGGAGCTCTGCCAGGGGCCACAAGAGAGCTTGGGAAGGGCTCCATGAGTGTGCAAGGACTGTCCCAGCTCCTCCCTGGGGCTGCTGTGCACCTGAACTCCACCTGGGGCCGTGTCAGGGTCAGAACAAAGGCCTTGAGCATCTGTGTGAATTAGGGCTGGGCATGCTCAACCAGGTCCTGTGAGGATGCTGCTGGGAACAGGAGGGACTGGGGCACAAAGCCTGGTTTGTTCCGTGGGGCTGAAATGTGCTGCAGCAGTGTGTGAAATGCAGGAGGAAAACAAGACCATTTAAGAGGATTTAATTTCTGTTTTGTTTCTTCCCCTCCTTCTTCTATTCTGTGTTAGTTTTTAGTGTGGAAGGGGCCCCAGAAAACCGGGCAGGTAAGCCGAGCTCCTTTGTGTGCTTTATTTCACAAACCTTTTCAAGCATTCAGTAGTTCAGACACAGCAGGTCGATTCTGAACTGGTAAGAGTCAAAGGAGTTTTGTCAGGGATTGCAGTGGGACAGGAGCATCCTCTCTCCCTCCCCAGTGTCTACAGCCAGTAGGTTGATGCCCAGCCCTAGCAGATACCAGGCTTTTGTTGCACATTCACTTGGTCAGGCTTCAGACACTCAAAGAAGCAGGTGTTTCATGTCTGTAGTGATCTTGTAACTTGTTCAAGGCATACACCAAATTCTTCTCTAAAGTGGGTTGGGTTGTGATTTGTTGCTAGCTGTGCTGTTAGCTGGTAGAAGTGCCAGGTTGGTATTTGGTAGGTGATGTGCCTGCAGACTGCATTGCTGTGCCTGCTGTCAGCCAGTTCAGCAGCATTAGAGGGGAGATTCCCTGGAAGACAATCAGGAAATATGGATCAGACTTTGCAATGTGTTCATTCAGTTTTTCTCTGCATTTTTTAAGCATTAATTCCTACAAGGCCTGTTAGTGGGCTGGGAGCAGGGGTAATCCTGGGGCACCTGAGGCAGAGGAGGAGGGACAAGTCAGACAGAGGGTCACTGGTTTATCATTCCTGTTTTCCAGTCTGTTACAGATGGAAATGTGATTGCAGGTGCAGGAGCATTCAGTGCCCATGCAGCTGTAGAAGGCAAAGCTGAGGTGTTGTCAGCTGTCCTGTGGCTCTGTTCTCTTGCAGACCCCTACGACCAGGCCGTCATCGCCGCCGATGAGGTGAAGGAGGAGGAGCCCGAACCCTTCCAGAAGATTGGGCCAAGTAAGAGTTATTATTGTGTCAAACAAAAAGGAAAGCTCAGGGGTTCACTGCCTTTGGCTGCAGCACCTCCAGAGAAAGCAGGAAGCACTGTTACACAGCAGGGTTGGGGTCTGGGTGCTCACAGGTATGCTCAGGCTCAAAGGAGCATCAAACACCAACAGCCCTAAGAACTGCAGCTGTGTGATGTGCTCTGCTCAAGAGCTCTGCAAAGAGAAGGGGAGGGGAGTTCAGGGAAAAGCAATCTGGCAGGGATGAGAGAGGGCTTGAAGGTGCACTGAGAGCTGGCAGGTGATTCATTCTCACTGCCTTCGTGGTGGGTCCCCAAACAGAGCAGAGAGGAACGGAGAGAACACCAGGTTTTGTCAAAGCATTTCCCTGAATTTTCCATTTTGGATACATTTGATTGTCCATGGATTTTCCTTCATCTTGCAGGTTGCTGCCAGTTCTGTACTCCCAGCACTGGCAAGAGGAGGAAGTGTCAGTGTGTGGTTACACTCCATTATTTCCAGTATCCCCAAAGCAGGGATGAGCACATTACTCCAGAAGAGCCCCTTCTCCTGCAAGAGAGCTCCACAATCCCAAATAAAAGTTCTCTAATACTTGAACCTGTTTGTTTCCTGGTTTGACTGTTCCTGTTGCCCACACATCCCAGACCTTCTGTAACCAGAGGACAGAACTGTGTCACCTGTAATACAGACTTTAGAACTGGATTTTCTCCCTTGTTTTGCACACTTACTTGTTGTAATTTTGGGGTAATCTTCTGAAACTTGTTCAGTTCTACTGGACTTTTTATGTATGGTCAATCCCTCTGTTTTGAACTGTTTCCTTTCTTGAGAAGAGGATGTGTGGATTACAGGGCAGGCAAGTTCCACATGCAGGAGGAATGTTTGCGTGACCTGACCAATTTCTCTGTAAAAAGAAACTGGGAGTTGTGTAAGAGGCCTGGCCTCCTTCCTGACCTTTGTCCTTGTTCCTTTCACAGAAACTGGCAATTACACCTGTGAGTTCTGTGGCAAGCAGTACAAGTACTACACTCCCTACCAAGAGCACGTGGCTCTGCACGCCCCCATCAGTGAGTATTGCTGCAGGGCTGCCCCTCTGCAGGCTGGCACCTCAGGGCTCTGGGCAGCACCAGGCTGCCAGGACAGGGCTGCCCCTCTGCAGGCTGGCACCTCAGGGCTCTGGGCATCACCAGGCTGCCAGGACAGGGCTGCCCCTCTGCAGGCTGGCACCTCAGGGCTCTGGGCATCACCAGGCTGCCAGGACAGGGCTGCCCCTCTGCAGACTGGCACCTCCGGGCTCTGGGCATCACCAGGCTGCCAGGACAGGGCTGCCCCTCTGCAGGCTGGCACCTCAGGGCTCTTGGCAGCACCAGGCTGCCAGGACAGGGCTGCCCCTCTGCAGACTGGCACCTCAGGGCTCTGGGCATCACCAGGCTGCCAGGACAGGGCTGCCCCTCTGCAGACTGGCACCTCAGGGCTCTGGGCATCACCAGGCTGCCAGGACAGGGCTGCCCCTCTGCAGACTGGCACCTCCGGGCTCTGGGCATCACCAGGCTGCCAGGACAGGGCTGCCCCTCTGCAGACTGGCACCTCAGGGCTCTGGGCATCACCAGGCACTGTAAAGCTGAGCTGGGATCTCCTCTCACAGGGACACTGTTAGGTCTGGAATGTCTCTGGGCTCCTACCCCAGCCCATGGAATTCTACACATGTTCCTTGTGGGGTTGATGGTTTAGGCTCTTTTTTAACTGAAGAGATGCACAACATTTTTATACTCCCTAAATAATAACTGAACATACATGTTAGAGAAGAAGCATCTTTCTATGAGCTTCTGGGGAATTATTTCAGTGAGACAAAACTGGTTTCAAAATCACTTAAATGACCTCAGCAGCTTGCTACTGAATCACACTCAATAAATGATTTATTTCAGGGAGCTCAGAACAAGGCAGTTGTCAGCAAACTGCACAGCACTGTGGTCTGCACTCCCCACACAGAGGGGAGGAGGCTTTAACAAACAGTTCAGTGTAATTCAGTGCAAAATTTGACTAAACATGTTGAGAGAAATTTTTGCTACCTGCTGGATTTGAATACTTTCAAAGTCTGCAGAGAAGTTCTTTACAGCTGAATTTCCTGCTCCCTTCCCAGCGCTGCCCTGAGCTTTGCTGGGTGCCCGGGCTGTGCTGCTCCAGGGTTTGGGGTGATGGAGAGGAGGATGAGGGATGGGATGAGGGACGAGCCGAGCTCAGCAGCCGCAGCTGCAGCCGGCAGGGGGCGCGTCCGCCCCAAAATCCCCGGGATTCGGGTTTTTAAGGGATTCTAGTGAGGCACCCTTGGGTTTATGGGAACACGCTCCACCAGACTGTCGCTTTTAAGCTTTGGTGGCTCTTGACAGGTGCCAAGCAGGTTCTCGTGGATATGGACCATGGTAGAAGGTGCAGGGCATGAAATACATGTCCAACATCGGCATCACAAAGCTAATCTTGTTATCTGCCAGCTGCTGAAGGACCTGCCCCAGTGCTTCTGATTGCACACATTGCAGTTATTCCTGTGTTGCCTGCCCATGCAAGCTCCACCTCTTCACTGAGGTGTTCTCAGCCCTCAGGCTGCAAACATTGGTGACCAGCAATGGTGACCTGCCACAGCAGGGCTCTGGGGTCTCTGTGCCCCTGCAGAGAGCTCAGGAGCAGTGTGCAGTGAGCACTGGGCTTTGCTCAGCTCTAGCTAATTCTCACCTTCCCAGTGCTTCCCATTTCAAGGTGATTTATTGCCACTGATGTCTTCACCTTCCCAACCAGCCACAGTAATAGCTGAGCTGCTGGTTCCAGTCCAGGCTCTCCAGCAGAAAAGAAACCCCAGCTGTGTTTCCCTGGGGTCCCTACAGTTCCAGTGGCCCCCCAAGGCTCTGCCCCAGTTCTGGAGGAGGAGGCATGTTCTGAGTGCTGGGCTTGAGGCCATTCTTGCACCATCATTTCTGCAGCAAAAGAAAAGAAACTGCCCCTGCTGCAGGCTAGATCAGCAGGCCCTGAGCTGTGCAGGTGGGTTTCCAGTCCTTTCAAGTATCTTTAGCTATGAGGACACTCAAGAACAGCATTTTCATAAGGTTTAACCCCCTCCCCATAAACTTTTCTTTTTCCTTTTTTTTTTTAACCTCTTTTTTCCTCTCCTAGTTCCCATGACCAGTAAGATTTATGATTTACAATGACAAGGCACTAACCCTGATGAGGATATAGGAGAGGGCATGGTGAGCTCCCAAAGCAGCCTGGCCAGTGCATCTCACACATTTCTGCTGCTCAGACTGTTCCTCCCAAAATCCAAGGTCCTGGAGGCAGCTGTTAACACCTGACTTTTGGAAAGCACAGCTGGCTCTTCTTGAGTCCTTGCAGTCAGAATAACTAAAGCTGAGACTGTGTCTTTACCCTGGTCTCATTCTTCTGGTTATAAGGCAAATGCTGAAAATTCAGTCATAGTGGGAATGGTGAGGAAAGCCCTTCAGCATCACCAGTTCAGCTGTCTGGGTCTCTGCTGGAGTGCAAGCTTCCCTTCCAGAGCCCGTGTTTCTGGATTTCTGTCATCATGAATGGAAAGTCATTGAAAATGGGTAAAACAAAGAATGATATCCTGCAGCTTCAATAGCATCTTGCAGGATAATTTCTGGTCAGAGCTGCTGGATAGCTGCTGTCTGGAAAAGAGCTCTGCTGTGGGCTTCCCTGGAATTGTTAATGCCAAATGTCTCCTTCCAAAGTTCCCTTTTCTGAGTGAGGAGTAGGGGCTTTTTTATAAGATTAGAACTGGGCTATGACTCTTTAATAATAATATTCTTATGCTGTTTCTGTCAACATATTCACTCTTTCGAAGAAGGCTGTCAGAGGCTGTTTCCAAAAAATAAAAGTGGATTTTAGGCACATTCATTGTCCCAGTTTGAGAAACATTTCTGAATGGAGATTCATGAGGGAGGGTTCAGAGATGTTCCTGTCCTCCTTCAGGCTCTGACTGCTCTGTTAGATTGAGCTGATGGAACCATGTTTTCTGGGGCTGGGCTGTTGGGATTGTTTAGAAGGATGGAGAGAGACTGTTCAGGGCATGAAGTGGCAGAACAAGGGAAATGGCTTCACACTGTTAGAGGATGGGGTTGGATGGGATTTTGGGAAGAAATTCTGAGTATCTAGTTAGGAATTGGGTGGTGATGCCCTGGCACAGGTGCCCAGAGCAGCTGTGGCTGCCCCTGGATCCCAAGGCCAGGCTGGGCAGGGCTGGGAGCAGCCTGGGACAGTGGGAGGTGTCCCTGCCATGGCAGGGGGGTTGACAAGGTGATCTTTCAGGTCCATTCCAACCCAAAGCAATCTGGCATTCTGTGACTCTGTGATGAGTTTGCAGTGCAGAGGGAACCTGGGGTACCTGAGATGTGAACTGGCTGTGAATGCACCAGGAGTGGGATTGAGCTTGGTGAGTGGGGCTCAGGAGTGTGCACCCACCTCTGCCTGGAACCTGCAGATGGAGCCTCAGACTCCTGGGTCATGGAAGTGTGGGAAGAGAACCCTAAAACCAGCACAGCCCTGCATGGCTCTGCTTCCAGGATGGAAATGTGAACTGATTTCAAGGCCCTGAGAGTACTCAGAGCTCTGCAAGGCCCTGAGCAGCCCCACAAGGGGCTGTGCCCACTGCCACACTCCTGCTCCAGCCCAGCTCTGAGCCACACACCCTCCTGAGCTGCTCTGTAGAAGTTGGTCTCAGTTCAGTTGTGGACGTGCCCCTGCCTGGCTGTGGGTCCCACGGATTTGTACCCAACCCACAACTGCATTCCCACCTTGATGTCAACCCTGTGTGGGCACCCTGGACCTCGCTGGGATCACTGGTCCTGCTTAACCTCAGCAGAGCTGATCCTGCTGCTGACCTGTGGATTGACTTGTCTCATTGCCATGAACTCTCCTGTGGCCTTCCTGATGGGAGCTGGCTGTCGCCTCTGGGCCTTGCTCCCTCCTCTCAGGGTCTGTGGGATGGCCCTTCCCATGCCTGGGATCATTCTTGGCTCTCCAGGGGACAAACAGACCTACACCCACCCTGACACCTGAGATGCTCAAGGAAGTTCGCCAAGGCTTGCTGCTCAGCTCCTTTCTGTATTGGATGCACACTGGATGCAATTTATTCCTCCAAAGTGCTTAAAAGCAGTGTTTCATTGAGGCAGCTGCCATTTTGCCAGCACAGCTGCTTTCCACACAGACCCTGCCTAGCCAGGGAAAAAGCAGCCCCAGATTCATTTGGATGGTGTGTCTTTGCTTCCACCAGTTCAGTGAGGGAAATCTGTGAGTTCAGGTGCTTTTCCCACAGTGTTTTAGCAACAGGCTCCACCTGTTCATGTGTATAAAGACACACATTAAAAATTTGATAAGTTTGAGCAGAGGGATTTTCCTGTGGAAAGATCTGTTTACCATAGCCAAGGTGTTTGCTCAGAGTATGGAATTTCAGGCCATTGTTAAGGAATCGTTTTCCAACACGTTCAGTGAAGTCAGTTTTTTCGCCATAGGTGATGATATAATTCCATCTGAACCTTCAAAATGGTTCCCTACCCATCCTGGCTAGATCTTTCTAAACAACAACCATACACAAATTATTAACCAGAATTTTTACCTGGAAAAAGTAATGTTGCTGAGACAATCTGGTCCCTGTTGTGGTGATGCATTGTGGTAGTGTGTGGATTTGTGTGCCAGATTTTCTCCTTGCTGCCACAGCTTGTCATTCACAGTACTTTAAGGTCTTCCCAAAACCAGAAAAGCCAGGAAGGACCACTGTGATCTCTGGACTGCCTGGAGAAGCACATTCTGCAGGATTGCCATGATTGAATTGCACACAGATATGCTTTAGAAAGACATCTAATCTTGCTTTTGAGTGACAGAAAATGCAGCAATCACATAAGGTAATTATTTTGGTGAATTATTGCCTCCACTAAATTAAGACTAAAATTAGCCAGCTGTAGCTTTGAGCACTGTCCTATTTATAACCTTGTGTGCTCAGTGAAGGAGGACTAAGTTACTGAGTTTCTGTCCTTTCCAGACCTGGCCTAGCCTGCTCTCCAGGCCCTGGTTAAATCACAAGAGTGACTTGTGTTTCCACTGTAAGCTCTGCTGTTCTTGGCCCTTGGTCATCCTCTTGTCTCCTCCTCTGAGTGCTCTCCATCTGTTCTCCACCCTTGGGCAGGGCAGGCACCAGCCCTGGCTCAGCACCTCCTGCATCAGGTGTGTCCTTCAGCACAGGCTGGGCCATGCAGCAGGGCTGCAGCACAAAGCCCTGACCCAGACCCTGCAGGAAGAACCACCCTTCACATCTCTGCAGCTCCCATGGTGCTGTCTCCACTCTTGCTGCAGATTTTGAGGCAGGAGGTTTTTGTGGCCATTCAGCAACTCAGGATTTTCATTTTTAGAAACATCTTGGCCTTTTCATCAGCCCGAGGCCATGAGTTCCACAGTGAAGGTGACTTTTCCAGAGCAGAGCAGAGGAGCCATGTGATGCTCTCTACCTGTGTTGCTCAGCCTTCAGAAGGAATTTGGCATCTGATGAACTACAGACTGAACATTTTATTCCCAATGAACTGTGAGCTTCCTCCAGACTGCTAGAACTGAAGTTCCTTTGTCTTGCATTGCTGCTCAAAACTCTCTCTGCCTGGTGTCAGCTGGAGCAGCCTTCTCTGTGGGGTCTCAGTTTGAAGACATACTGTTTGTTTAATTTGGGAGGAAGAAGACATTTTGGAGGTCATCATAGCATTGAGATTTTTGTTGTCACATCCCAGAGCAGTATCTGGGCTGCAGAGGATGTGCAGTGATGCTCTCTGTGTCTGGCACTGAAGAGTTGCTGATGGCTGTTTCTCATGGCATGGATGGGGAATAAAGCAGACATTGGTGGGAATGATCCTCATGGAAAGCAGACAATCCACAAGCTGGAAATTTTCATATCTGGCTACATTTTTGCTGGCAATTTGGCAGCAGCTGGAGGAGGATTATCCATGGAGAGTGAAAGAAGCACAGAGAGCAAAACAAGCCTTCTGCCTATTTATCTGGCTGGAGACCAAGCAGAGAAGTATCCTGACTAAACTGAGAAAGCCAGTGCATAATTTCCTGCAGAACTACCCTGGCATGTGAGGAAATGTCAGCTTGGGGCTGTGTGTCAGAGCAAGTGAATCAAAACCCCTGGAATTGCAATGCCCTGTGAATCTGCACTCTCCCAGTCCCCAGTGCTGAAGGTGAGAGCCAGTCACAGCCAAGGTCTGTGAAGTCTCCTGGGATTTTGGAAATGAGTGTCCTGTCCCAGCCTAGGGGACTCCTTCCCTGTTTCAGAGTTAGGCTGTGGTGCTGCCATGGCATTCCCCTGAGAGCTGCTCAGTGTGGTTGAGTATTTCTCACTCACACTGGGTAGGATGTGCAGGTGCTGCTGTTGTCCCTCCACCTTTAGGCATCCCACAGTATCACTGTAGAAATCACTGGCAGGGAGCTGGGACTGGTTGAACCTTCTTTGTTAGTGATTTTTCATGACAGGTGGTTGGAGTGGGGCTGGTGCTTCAGGACTCATATCCAGATTTCCATAGAAGAGGCCCCTTACGAGTGAAGGGGGTTCTTAGACAGTTTCTCCATTTTTGTAATGGTTCATTTAATCTATGTGGCCCAGACAAACGGCTGTCCTCCTGGAGGTGTTTCAGATGACTTTTGGCATTGACAATTCCTGGTGATCCTCACTGTGTGCTGCAGAGACCAAAATATAGATGCATTCCAAGAGCATATCCCAATAATATTCAGAATTTCTCCACATGTCACCAGGCTGTAGATGGGACCAAAAGCCTTTACTCACTCTGCCTCCTAATTCCATTCCATCCCATTCCATTCCCATCAGTGCCCTTTCCTTTGTATTTGGTCAAAGAGACAAGGAATGTAGCTGGAGATCACTAGGATTTATTCAAGGCTCAAGAAACAAAGCTTGTCCCTACTCAGAGATCTGAGTAGTTTAGAAACCTGTTCCCAAAATTCAGTCCATAGAAATGGAGGCCAGAGCTGCAGGTGCCCCCAGCCAGGCCGTGGCAATCACACAGTGCTCCTGGATGAATGGGGTGATTCCTGCAGGAGCAGGAATGGGTTGGTCCTGTGGCAGTTCGAGGTGTGCAGGGAGCTAAGGAGCTTCCCCAGGGGGAGCCCAGCTCTGCCCAGGGGCTCGGTGCAGCAGCAGCTCCAGCAGGCCCCGCTCTGGGAGCTCCCTGGCTGTGCAGGCACTAGTTCTGAGTGTTCATATCCAGAGTTCTCTCGATCTCCACTCTTCGTGGCAGTGAAGACACAGACGAGCCAGTCCAGCAAAAAGTCCCCGGCGTCCATAAACCGCTGCTCCAGCCTCCTGCACCGCGGGCCCTCCGGCGTCCCGCCCGCCTCCCAGGCCCAGATGTTCCGCGCTCCCAACTCCGCATCCCCAGGAAGCAAGGCCATCACAGGTACCAGCTGCCCTTCACCCTGCTCAGCTGCTCAGTGCCCTGCCCTTTCACCCTTCCTGGCCTCGGTTCACTCCATCCATGGCTGTCCCACAGAAGCTGCTCCCAGGAGCAGTTGATCCTTTATAATCCCTTTCCAGTGACAAGTTGTTTTGTTACACATCGTGGTAACCACAAGGTGCAAAAGACCCTGTTTCAAATCCTGATGTCACAAACTCAGAAGTGCTTCCTGACATGAATCCTTCAAGGATTCATGTAATGGCTTGTCAGGAATGGGGATTTTTGCTTGGTTTTCAGCACTGTTTGGCATTTAGTGTTTGTTTTCCTCAAGGTGATGTTCTTATGGCTAGGCCTGTGCCTTTGGAAGTGCGATGGAGTGCAGGTGTTTTCACAGTGCTCCATTCCCCATAAGAACCCCCGAGAGATAAACAGAAAAACCAGTATTACAGAACCATTACTGAGGAGTTAGAAAATGCAAGTTAGGGTTGATCCTCCCATTGTCTCAGTTTCCTCCTTCCAAACAAGACCAAGCCTAAAAAACAAAAATAAGAAGAAAGAAAGCAAAGACTACTGAAAAATAACAGTTAATTAATAGGGTGTGAAACATAGTGTGCCATGTGCAGTCCACTGTGGGATTGATGGATAGAGATCCCATCTGGGTGCAGAAGAAGAGCTGGTCAGTCAGTTGGTGTTTAACCACCCCTAGAATGTCTGGCATGGACAGATGCTGAGTATGAGAGGTGGCTGTGGTGAGAAAGGCCATGGATGCTAAACAAGGATGGGCTTTGTTAGATAACACATACCCACAGCTGCCAAGGACTTGGTCCATACAGAGAATTTTACTTCACTTTCAAAAGGTTCCAATATAAGGAGAGATAACAGAGTGAGCTGCCCTCTCAGTGTGGGAAGGGCACAGTAGGACCAAGCAGCTGCATTAAACCAGATTTTTCTTACTGCCAGACCTGGGGGAGGTTTTGGGGGGAAGCCTAAGGGATGAAGGCAAAACCACCATGCCAATTCTTTACAAAGGTCTTTGGAGACCTCCATCTCACTTCCACTTGTGACATAGCCAGGACTTGAACCTGGGTCTCTTGGGAGGGGTGGGCTCACGTAAAACATTTTGTCACTGTCTGATTTTCCTGTTGTTTAAGGCCTCTTGTTTCTATTATTTATCTGTCAAGTGGCCTAGGTAGATAATGTTTCCAGTTCCTTTCAGCCCTGTTTGATGCGTTTCTGTTTCAGTTGATTCGGTTCCCAAGTTTACTTGTTCTCCTGAATTTTAGGAGTCAGGAATGTAGTTGATTGAGAGTTTGAGAAGCCTGCTCAGGGCTTGGAAGGGTCCACTGAGGACTGGCTGGGCCAAAATCCATGGGCTGGGCTCTTCCTTCAGTTCAGGTCTTTGGTAGCCCCAAGGCCCCCGTGTGTGAGCCACGCTGCTGCCCTGGGAGCTGCAGGGACCCAGGGCCTCTGCCAAGTCCTGACAGCAGTTCTGACCACTCCAGTGGTCTGCAGGAATGAAATCATGGTGTGGCAGCACTTTTCAGGAGTCCCCATCACTCCTGAATGAAAGGCTTGTGTCCCCAGCCCTGCCCAGTCTGCAGGCCGTGTCCCTGTGAAGCCCTTGGGTGACAGTGGGCTCCAGAATGAGAGTGCAGGGCAAGGGCCTGTCCAGCACAGCACACACACGTTGCTTTGGCCAGTTCATTTTTGTTTAATCTCTAGTTTATCCTTTGAGCCACCACAGTAAATCCATTTGCCTGGGTATTGCAGACCCAGTGAAGTGAGGCAGGACCTCCTTGCACTGTTGAGCTGATGCTGAGGGACAGCAGCTTGAGCAGGGTGGGAACCCCGAGCTGTGCTGTACAGGGACGCTCCAGGGATGCTCCAGGGATAATTCAGGGATGATTCAGGGGTGCTTCAGGGCTTGTGGCCACTGCCAGGGGCAGGAAGGACCTGGGTGCCCTGGAGGAGGCTCCCACTGCAGTCACTGGGACCTGCCCTGTGCTGTGGCTGGAGAGGGCCCTGACAGGAGCTCAGGGGGGCTCAGGGAACAAGGGCACTGCTGGGAAGCCCAGAGCCAGTGGATCTTCCACAGCTTTTCCAGACATGGTGGGCAGGCCCTGAGACAACCCTTCAGGCCTCTGCTTCAGCATTTGCAGGAGGGTGTTTAGGAAGGGAGTGCAGGTGGCTGGGAAGCACAAGAAAAGCTGGCACAGCACTTCTGTAGGTGACACTTTGGTGTGGTGTGAGGCCCTGAGCTCAGTCTCAGACTGCTCACAGGAGTTAAGGGCTGCTTGTTGCCTTAAGGAAGAGTAAGATAAGGGATAGGTTTTTTTCAGGACCTTTCTGGTTCAGCCAGGACTGGTGTTCATGGGCTCCCTAAGAGCCAATCCAGGCCACCTCAGCCAGAAGGCATTCAAGAAAAATCCCCACCTGTTATCCCTTCACTGAATCTGGCCCATTTGCCTCCAAAATGAGGTATTTGACCTTTCTGCTGTACTCAGGGTCTGTGATTATGCGGCACAGGAGCATGTCTTGCCTCCTGTCTCCCTGGTTCTGCATCCAGTGTTGACCAGTCACCATTCCTGCTTTGTTCTCCACCCAGCAGAAAGTGCTTTCAGCAGAAGAGTGGAAGGCAAAGTGCAAAACAACTTTGAAGAAACAAACAGCAATTCCCAGAACTCCAGTGGTAAGTGTGGTCACCCTTTCCTGCTGCTTCCATGTTCCTCTCCAAGCAGGACCCAGCTGTGTCAGTGGATGTGGGTGTATTGTGGGGTACCTTGTTTAGGCTCACAGGCAGCCAGCCCTCCTGGTAGTGCCTTATCCTCCCTCCTCCCCAGGCTCCTGGCACCCCAGCCCTGGCACACAGGCCATGGGGGATTCCTGCTGCCAAGGACCAGGCACTTGAACATTGATTTTTCAGAGAGGAGCCAAGATGTGGAGAAAGGATGGATGGAGATCAGATCAAGCAGTACATGTGCTGTGTCTGTGTATCAGTGCAGTCCTGCTGGAGCAAAGCCATTTGCAAGCAGCAGAAGTTTGAGGACTGTGGGTGGAAGAGCAGTTTGCAGGTTACAGTGATGCTGAGCATAACAGTTTATTTAAATGTCACTGTAACCAATGTGCAGCTGTTTCTGCAGTCACTCTGTGGAGGTCACAGTGAATCAGATGTGAGACCAAAATATGTGTGCTAGAAGGAATGAAATTCCCCTCCAATTGTGCAGTCCATGTGGTAGTAACTGAACATAACCAGTGGCCTAGACAATTTTGTTCAGGTCCAGCACCTACAGAGTTTTCTGTGCAAGGTTTTTATCCTGCCTGTGTATTGCCCAGCCTTCCAGTGGGCCACTACCATTCTCCTAATTGGAGCAAAAGTGACAGACCAGATGAAACATACATTTAGCATCTTGCTGCAGAGATAAATAGCATGGCAGCAGAAAAGCCTGGCCTCCCTCCATTCCCCATCCAAGAGAAGCAGAATATGTGGGGCTGGCAATGGTGGGATATCTCCCTGGAGCAGGTCACACAGTGTCTGTTGGAGGTTAGACCTGCCTCAGAAGCAAGTCAGGGCCTTTCTGGAACCATGTTGAAAAGCAGGGATGTGATGTTGGAAAACCACCACATTGGTAGCAGGGTGGGTGATGGGAAATGGGGAAGAAGGTTGTTTGTTGCTAAAATACTGTGTGTTGTGTTTTGGGGAAAAATCCTGTACTAATCTATCATTCACCACAATTGCAGCTGGTCATTCGGGGACAGAGAAACCTAAAGAAAAAAGGTGTAAGCAGAACCCATCAGGTGAGCTTGTCTCTGTTTCAGGCCCTTAGCCCTGGTCCTGCTGGACACTCAGAGTCCTCGGGGCTGCCCAGGCCCTGGTCAGTAAGCCCAGCCTGGCTGGCAGACATGACTCAGGGCAATGCAGGCTCTGAGTTGCAGAGTTCCCAGCCTGGCTGCAGCTCTGGACGTGGCCCTGGCCTCTCAGCAGCTCCTGTCTTGTCTTCTGGGGGTGCTGACAGTGTTTGAAGGGTTTCAAAGCCTTTAAGTGCACATCTGTAAATGCCAGTACACCACTTGGGGCCCTGACTCCTCTGGAGCCATTGCAATGTAGCAGCCTGAGATTGTACCTACTTTATTCCTGTCAAACCTTGCACAGCCAGCAAAGGAAGGGCAGAAATATCTTCCTTCCTATCAGACAGCTCATTCCTGAAGCCAAGAAAGCTGCATTGGAAACCTGCTGGCTGCTCTTGTCAAGTTTTGCAGGAGGGGAGATGAACCTGCCCAGGAGGCACTGACAAGAAACCCAAACAGTGGCTGTGCTGAACAGTGCAAGCCTTCAGTTCTTGCTGAACTATTAAATACTGACCCACTGTTGCTGTGACACATCTCCCAAACTCTCCCTGCCATCTCCTTGTACCAGCTCACATCACACTCATCCTCCTCAATCTTATTTCTTTCTGGACTGCAACATTTAAAGCACGAGTGAAAGTTCACAGCAAAAACCAAAACAAAACCAGAAATTCTTACAAGTTGAGTAGCAAGTTTCATGTGATTTGCTCAGTTTGTTTCCCTGTAAGGAGTGTTTCTGTCTGCACCACGTGTAGTGTCAGTTTATTTTAGTGGCTCAGTTGAGGGCCTGGCAGGCTGCAGAGGGGTTGCAAGGCACTCACCTGGACCTTTGATTGAGCAGGAAACCTGAGGAACTCTAGTGAGCTGCCCAGGACTGCTCTGAGGGCAGCTGGGCTCTGGTGGAAGTAGTTGCTTTCTGCATTAAGGAGCTGACATGCTCCTGAAAGCCAGGCTGGTGCATGGGGATTATAAACTTTTCCGTTTTTCCTTCCTTTATCTGTCCTGCATCCTCTTTTCTTCCCCAGCCATGTTTTCCTCCTTTGGCTCAGTTTTTGCGCTGCTTCCCATTCAGTGCTCTTTCCAGCCCTTGCACCACCAAGCCATTTTCCTCTTACTCCTTCCAGTTCTCAGGAGTCCCAGTGGCCTCACTGACAGCAGCCTGGGTGAGCATCACCAGTCACCCTGTGTGTCCCTGGTGGTCAGAGAGGCCTGGAGGGCTCTGTGTGCTCAGCTGTCCAGGCAGAGCTCCCTGCAGCTGCCTTTTGGAAGGAAGAGCTGCCATGTCCTTGCCTCCTCCTTTTCCTTCTTCCCATGGCTGTGTCTCAGTGGGGTGACAAACCCCGTGTGGCTCAGTGTCACACGTGGGATGGGAGCTCTGGGGTGATTCTGGCACCACTGGCTTGTCCTCTCTTTGCTCCAGCCAGCAGATTCCTCCCAGGCAGGGAAGCAGGTGGTGGCAATGTGGTGGGCAATGACAGAAGGATGGACACTTCTGTCCTCCCACTCCCATCTGCTGTTTGCTTGTCACCAAACTGCTGCTGTAAGGAACAGTCACCAGGTTTGGGAGGTAAATGTAGGTCCCAGCTGAGCAGCCAGGAGCTGTGGGGCTTGGCCTTGTTAAATGCCTGATGGCTCTCGTTCTCTGTGGGTGTGAGCTTTGTGTCACAGCCTTGGATACAGAGATACCAGAGAGATTTTTAGGCCACCCAGCTGGGGACATTCTGCTTTTTCCCTGTGCCACCATCCTGGCTGCAGTGGCACAGATCCCTTGGTGTCTTGGGTGAGGGGCAGGACAAGCAGAACAGGGAGGTCAGTAACTAAAATCACCTAAAATACTCAGGGGTGCAATGCTGTAGGGAGTCCTGAGTGGGAATAGGAATGGAAAATGTTGGATTTCAGATGTCTCTTCCCTGTGCACACAACCCCAGTCCTTGTCACAGTGAGTGCAGGCACCTGGCACCCTCACAGTGTGAGCTGGCATTGGCTGCCCATAAAGCAGAGCTCTGAGCTGGTGCCAACTCTGCTTTGGGCCTGAGGGGAGTCCCAGCTCTGTCCCCCAGCAGGGTGGGCTGGAGGCAGGGGGTGGGTCTCGAGCTGTCATCCATGTTATGATTGGAGAGTGCTCTTTGTGCTCGTGGAAAGGGGCCTCCACACCCACTTGAACTTGCTTTTTGATGAAACCTGGAAGATCCACAGTGCTTCAAAAATAGCATCCTGCTAAAGTGTTCCAGTTGCTCCCTTTGCAGCCTGGGGAGCAGCAGAGTCCCAGGTCACACAGAGCTTCTGTTCATCCACTGCTGAGCTGAGGGAGGCCAGAAAGCAGTGCCATGACCTGAAGCATGGAATTGGCTCACTGGGATGAACAGCAGAAGCTGTTATTCCTTAGGGTGCCATAAAGCTCCTTTCAAGGGAGCCCTCCCTGGTGGGGGCCGTTCTGCCAACTCCTGACACATGCTGGGGTTTTAAATTCTCAAGAGGCCAAACAATATTTCAAGGCCAGGTTGTGCAATGTAAAAGGCAGTGATGATCAGCCTGGGCATGGGCAGGGAAACCCCCAGAAAGGGGCTGAGCTGAGTGTGGTGTCCACAGTGAAGGTCACTGCCTTCCTTTCCATCCATGTGTGGTTGAGAGGAGCCTTGGCTGGGGCTGGGCCCTGCTCTGGTGCCCTCTGTCACCTCAGGGCTCCCAGGCAGGGACAGGGACCTTCCTCAGGGACAAGAACCATCCCTAACTCAAGTGTTCACAGCCTCATGCAGCTTGAGCCCTTGTTTTGGGCATGTGGATGACTCCTTTGTGAAATAAAGGCCAAGAGGGATTAAGGGAATTGTGAGAATCCAAGAAGTAAAAGAAAAGCAACAAAGGAGAAAAAAAGCTCTTTAGTTTCAACACCTTCAAATACAGCTATCAAAGGGGAAATCTAATTGAAATTGTCAGTGTTTGTTGAAGTCTGAATTTGCTCAGTGTTGCAGGTGTGAAAGAGAACAGTTAAAATTATGTAGGGAATTGGGAAATATTTTGAACTTTCAAGGTTGATTTAAGCTGTATAAATATGTCTTCATTTCATCTGCTGCTTTAGGGAACTACTACCGTAAGAACTTCCAGTGCAACAAATTTTAGCATTTAGAGTTTTTAAAATGTCAACACTTTTCATTCCTATTTGCACAGGGAAGCTTTGCTTTCCAGCACTGTTTATTCCAGACTGGGGAGAGGGTCAATGGAAATGTCTTCTTTTTTTGAAGCAGTTTGTGCCAAGCTGAGATGAGATTGAGACCAATAAGAATTGATTTTCTACATTTGATATAGATTAAAAATTCTAGGAAAAGCCTGAAAATCTCCTGTTGTCAGGATTTAAAGGACACAGGACTAGATTTTAAACATGGATTTCAGAAACCACTTTCTTCCCTGGTGTGGCCATACATCCCCTTCTCCTCAGCCCCTGTGGTCCAGCCATTGCACAGCCCATCTGTGGGGGGTTCTGCTGCAAAGACAGCACTTCTATGTCACAGACATCTTTTGTGAAGAATCCTTTCTTTAGGATTTTTCCTTCTGGGAAGCTGAGGCCCCAGAAAAAGAATGTAAACAATGGTTGTCTGCTGCTGTGGAATGCAACAGGTGCACCTCTGATTGGCCCATGTTGCATGTTTACAATTAAGGGCCAATCAAAGACTGAGCTCTCTCTGGGACAGAATCAGGGAGAGCTCCTTTATTTATTCCTTCCTTTTCTATTCTTAGCATAGCAAGCTTCTGAACTTTTCTCTCTATTCCTATTAGCATAGTCATAAAGTAACATATATATCATAACCTAATAAATCCTGCCTTCTGAACATGAGGTCAAGATTCTCGCCTCTCTCTTCACCCTGAAAGGCCCTTGCAAGCCCTGTAACAGTTCTAGGATAGCATTTTTGGTGGGTGAGTGCAGCTTTAGTGTTTGGGGCATAATAATTCTTGATTACTGATTGCAGTGTGACATTAGCACAGCCAGCCCCAGTGCCTCTGCCTCCTGAGGTGCACCCAGCTGCCTCTGGGCTCTGTCAGCTCAAATACAACTTCCATTAACATTCATCTGGCAGTTCTCTTCCTCATCTGTGGTTGGTTTGTGACTGCTGCATGTCTCCATGGAGCTGGGAGAGCCAAATCTGAGGAGTGAGGAAAGGGGAGGGGGGAGTTGTTCTGTGAGCTTCACTCTGTGCACAGCACAGGCAGTGCTGGTGATGGGGTGACACAATTGCACAAATAGCCAGAGCTGCATTCTCACAGCAGCCTGAGGTGCTGTGCCCAGAAGGAGGGGCAGGAGCTGAGTGCAGTTCCCAGCAGGAGAATGAGAGTCACACAGGGAGGGTTCAATTGAGAAAGTGTCACTTTGCTTGGTTGCATAAATAAGTCACTGTGTCCACTGGGCGTTTGTGTGGAATTGAGGTTTCTAGGAATGAACTGTTTATTTCTGGTGCCACATTCATTTAAGCTGTTCCAGACTTCTCATGTTCAACAGGCAGCTTGCAGACAGGAAGAAATATATCTGGGTTAAAAGAACCACTCAGCAGCCAGTCTCTGTGGGTGACATCCTGCCAATTGCTCCAGAGCCCTGGGACATGGGGAGGAGCTGAGGCAATGCCTGTGAAAGCATTGAGGCAAGGAGCACTCAGCAGAAGTGGGACCCAGCCAGGGCCAGGGCTGAGGATTGCAGTCTGCAAGCACAGGTACTGGGCTGGGGCTGGGCAGGGCAGGGCCAGGACAGTCCCTGGGAGAGCAAAATGTGGGCAGGAAAACCTGTACTCTCATTTGGCCTGGAGAATCTGTGCAGGGAAACGTTACAAAGCCCCAGTGCAGGTGATTTATCATTAATCAGTCACACTCTGGCATTTCTATGGCTGTTACCTGGATAGATAGCTTTAGTGGAAGTGATTGTGCTGTAACAGGGACCTGGCAATGCATGGATAAAAAAATTGTCCAAT